ACACCTTTGGGATGAATTAGAGCGTAGACTGTGATCCAGGCCTTCTCGTCCAACATCAGTGTCTGACCTCACAAATGTGCTTCTGGAAGAAGGGTCAAAAATTCCCATTAACACACTCCTAAACCTTGTGGACAGCCTTCCCAGAAGAGTTGAAACTGTTATAGCTGCAAAGGGTGGGCCAACATCATATTAAACCCTATGGATTAAGAATCGGTTGTTACTCAAGTTCATTTGTATGTGAAGGCAGACGAGCGAATACTTTGGGCAATATAGTAGTCATTCAAACTGGCCTTTAGACTTAGATTTTGCAGGTGGTAACAGTTATTTCCCAGAATAGCACATAGTTTTTAATATTAACGACAGTCAAGGACTACAAGTAACTAATGAGTTCATCTGTTTATATTGTACCGGCTTGGTGATGTCAAAGACGATGATAGCAGCCTGAGCTCCGCGGTAGTACATCGGAGCCAGGCTGTGGTATCGCTCCTGTCCGGCAGTGTCCCAGATCTCAAACTTCACCGTGGTGTCATCTAGACATACAGACTGGGCCAGAAACGCAGCTGCACATCAAGACAGACAGATGACAGGTTACCTACCTCCATACGCCTCTCTGCAGCACTGCAAAGAAACTAAGGACATTTGTGTAAGTACAGTTTTGAGGTGCTTGCACTTCCATTTCATGCTACTTATACTTCTACTCCACTACATAATGGAGGCAAATATTCTACCTTTGCGTATTTATTTTATTAATAAAATCAAGTAACTGATTAACTATTAATATAAAAAAATGACCAGCCTTATTTAAGATACCTGGCTCTTTATAACATAGTTTATAGTTTATAACATAGTTACTAATGGTTATTTTTGTTATAGATGAGTCTGCAGATTATTTTCTCCATTAGTTGTTTGGTCCATAAAATGGTGAAAAATTCTGATCATAATTTCCCAAACTCCAGTGTGATATTCTCAGTGGCTTGTTTTGTCTGAGCAAAAGTTCAAAACTCAGAGACACTCAGTTTGTCATTGGTGACAGAGAAAAGTATCAAGTCCTCACAAGCGAGATGCTGGGACCAGAGAATACTTTTTCTTAATAATAAAAAATAAACTCCCACGGATTAACACATGATCGGAATAGTTGCTGCTATGTTTCTGGTTGATCAGGTAATCAACTAATCATTGCAGCTCTACATTCAAGTGACATACAGCATCCATCCAGTAGTACGAGCCTGAAATGGTTCATTCTGCGTTATTAGTACTTCTGGTACTTTTACAATTTTCAATGCAAATACTTTTGTACATAGATAAAATTCTGAATGAAGAACAGTAATTCTACACGGTCATCATCGAGTACTTCTTCCACCACTACTACTTGCTACTGCCCCACTGATCACCTGCTTAGTATTTTATCCAACACATCAGTGTTCCTAGTCTCTTAGCCCTACATTCAGTCATCGTGTCCACAATGGCAGTCCTCACCTCCTATGGTCGTCTCCTGGAACTCATCAAACTGCCCCTTGACAAAACGCAGCACCAGGCTGGACTTGCCCACAGCCATGTCTCCCAGTAGCACCAGCTTGAACTGCTGGAGTGGAGACAGGGGCTTCTGGGATGTCAGTCACTTCGACTGCCTCCTAGACAGACTGTAGTTCACCTTTCTGCTTGCCTTGTTTTGGCTGTATGAGGAAGCAATAGGTTTTGTTTTGATGCAAACTTGCATCTCAATTTTCTTTCATTCTCAACAGATGTCTCTCCCAGTGGATCCATAATGTCTAAAGTTTGGGGTTTTATAGGACAGAACGCAGATCTGACATAAATTTAAGGCATAGCAAGACAAACTTGAATTCCAGGTGCATTGCTATACATGTACACCTCTTCCTGTACAGTTTAAAGGTTAGGGTTTTTAAACAAAGAGGGGTGGAACATTCCCTCATTAATCATTAATGGAGTTTATACACATCATCTCATTGAAATTGTGATCTCTATCACAAGAGACTTGTGTACAAGAATATATATCTGGTTGTATTTTGGTTCACAAAAGAAGCATTTACAGTTGGAACTGAAAGTATAGTCCTTCAAATTATGTGAAATAACAGATTCTAGTTGTTCTTTTAGTGTTTGTTTGTTTTTTTGGAAATGATGAAACAAAACTGAGGAGAAAGGCTTCCTGAGCAGGTCAAGTAACTCAGAGATAAGAGGTGCCATAGGATGCAATAAAGTGAGCGATTTTAATATGCTCATTATGTGCACAAACACAACAGCATGCGCTACACAGGAAGGCTTGGATCAGCAGAAACTCTGGATTGCAACACAATTCAAGCTTGGTGCCCTTCTCTTCCAAAAAGCAAAAAATGTGATTAAGTGCAGTGTAGCTCTTGATCCAAGCCTTTTCTGTGTTCTACATGCCTGTATTCCTCAGGGGATGAAAAGCAACTAAGTACATTTACTCAAATATTGTACTTAAGTAGAAATTTAAGGTATCTGTATTTGAGTTTTTTCACTGTGTGCTACTTCATAGAGGCAAATACTGTACTTTTAACTGCACTACATTTATTTGGTAACTTTACTTACTTGTTAATTTTTAGAATCAGATTAACTGTACAGTAAAAGCATAAAATAAAAGTAGGACGACTCATATTGAAGGTATGCATCTTTTCACGGCCAGTATGAACAGGATTGTTTTAATATTTCAATCAGTAGCTGAGTACTGATTCACACTTGCTAAACTGTGACTCTATCCTGTAAAATATCCTGTGACTTGACAGTGGAAGTGCTGCTTTTCTACAATGTGACACCAGCGAGCAGAGGTAATGAAGTCATTTTTGTAGCAGGGCCTTATAAATACTTAAAATACACTGCAGCTCCCTGTCAGATTTCAGATAGGAAACAGTGGTGAGTGTGTATTTGTCATGCCTAGAATTAAAAGGCTCTAAGGTGAAACCAAAATGCAGTAAGACAATTTTAACTGCAGCTACAATTCTTTACATTTACCACGTCTGCTGTTTTCACTAAGTTGGAGATATGTCTGAAAATAATGTCCCTTTCCCAGCAGTGAGACTAGAGTTTAAAAAGGATGCTGCGCCTCTAACTGCTATCTCCCGACTCACAGACTACAATGCTGAAAACCCGTCACTGCAGCAAATTTGTCATATGAAGCATTACTCAGACACCAGCATCATATTATGATGTATTAGCACAGGGGCGACTAACATTCCTGCAGCCTTCAATCATGAGGTTACTCTCATAATAAACGTTATCAGATCAGCAGCCCTTATCTTGCGTTGTGTGCTAACCGACTTCGCTCAGGTCGAATTAGCCAAAATTGAATCAAAGCTTTATAATTCGACGCCTACTTAAAAACACGAAAACAACCTGTTTATCTGACCAACATGTCCCTAGTGGGAGAACAACATTAAAATAATTACCGTGTATGCTGTCGTTTCAGTAGCGCAAGTATGGCAGGGTTGACTGCTGACAATTTGGCTATCAGCTGGTAGAAGAAAACGTTAGCACACTTCCTGTATATCGGCGCAGGCGCACTAAGTACCGCATTGTCAAAGAACAACATTCCCCAAATCAGCGGTGCCGGATTTGACAGCAAAGTAGCCCAAACATTGCAAAGAACCCGGCCAATTGTTTTGGACATCGGCACATTAACTAACCTGAATCTTATATTCGTAGTTCATATTTGCAGTGTACCATTGGATCTATACAGAAATCTCAGAAATTACTTTTTATTGAATAAAACTTTAAAAACTTAATCATTCTAAGATGTCATACTGGGAAAGGTAACTTAAATTCCTATGTGTTTTAATAAACATACCATTCAGGTACTATCACACCTAACCAGTGACAAAATCCCGCATATATTATTATTCGGCTTCACTACTAAAAACCTGCTCTTACTGTATTAAGTCTGTGATCGGAATTTTGAAGGGTGGTCTGTTATGGGTGTACTGGCCTTTTCTGTTGTAGCCTCCAGGCCGCAGGGGGGCAGTAGGCCGCATTGTCTCCGGAAATCTTTACCGTGTAACACATGTGTGGACTCCGGCTTTTAGCTAAAACGTTTATATTAACGCGTTTTAAATAGTCTGTACAATGTTTATAGGTGTTTTTGTGCAAAGAGATATAAGAACATGCTGACATTATGTCGACTACAAACAGAAAGAAGCAGGGCAGGGACACCGCGGTAAGTGTAGCTTTATTTAATGCAGCTAGCAAAACCTGATTGTAGCCAAATAAGTCGCCTATATTTACTGCTATGTAATTGATGCTCTTGTACTTTACATGAGTATTTCCACGGCACAGCGTGGTTACTTTACAAATAAAAATTTATTTACACCACTTGGTGGTTTTAAGAAATATGCATTGGTCGAAAGAAACGAAATTTATACTGAGTTTATCAGTTTATTAAATTGCGTCAGGAAGGGCATTGGGTGTAAAACACGTGCCAAATGTCAACATGCGAGTCGTCAGTGTGACGAACGGGAAAAGCCGAAAGTGACTTTCTTATCAGTTTATTAAGTACACCCAGCCCAAACTGAATGCAGCAGCTCTGAAGATGATAATACTCAGCTTATAATCAGACTGTTTCAGAGAGGTTTTGGTTAAAGTGTCTGATCATTTTAGGAGTTTCATGTTCATCTGTACTGTGTTATATAGAGAGCTGTTTGTTATTTAGCCTGGCCTCTGATTTAAATGAGGTAGATGATAGAAACACCTGAAGGTTTGTTTATTTGTTGTGGTATTTAACGTAATATATTGCATCAAAAATTAAAAGCAACATGTATTTTATGTTAATTATGAAATAGTCACTAGTGAATGTCTGTTACTTTTGTCAATTTTAACTTGTGTCAGAGGAAATTTTTTTTTCTTTTTGAAGTGTAAGGGTAGTAGTGGTTTTAACACATCTGTACTTATATAAATACACTTTTACCTAAGTGAAGAATCTTCTACCACTGGCAAAAAGTAATTCAGACTGGTCACAGGCTTAGGAGTTTACAGTTATGAAGGTTTTGTGTTTCCCTTGCTTTCCCCAGGTGCAGGGAACCAACGACAGCAGTGTGGTGAGCAAGGTGTCTGCCTCAGCACATGGCTACTTTCAGGATGTCTTTCTCCAGCACTTTGTGTGCAGAGTTGCCCGGAGAGCCCCGCTCATCAACAGGTCAGTCAGCACCTTGTTCTACAGTATATCCTACACCACTGTTCATTGGACTCAGTGAATGGCCAGTGTTTTGTACATATACAGAAGCTGTCCTTGGTTGACAGGGATGGAGTACAAGTGGTTTGAATTAGATAAATAATAGGCTACACAATAATGTGGCCAAAGGCTTATATCCAAAATGAGGTTAAACAGAGGGTGTTTGCAGGTCTTGAGAAGTCATAAAAAGTACTGAAATCAGTTCCCTCAAAAAGGCCTTATTAAGAAGCCTTGAATTTTAATTTCTTGGGTCTTGAATACTTTTTCTAGCCTGCTATAGAATGTAACATTAGTTATAAGAGCTTTTCTTCCCGTCTGCAGTAGCTGACCAGTTCAGTGATTCATAATGTGAAAGTGTAGATTTTTAGCAAAACCATTTAACTTGTTACTCCATACATGAGTTCTCCGTCATGTATGTTGGCTCAGTTGCTGTTAATTGATTAATTAAATTGCAAGGAATTATTGTAATATATACCTGGTAATTATTCAGAAAGTTTTGTTGCTAGAAATATTAATAAATAATAGTTGGTCTTACTCTCTGTACTGGTTTTCTGTCATTTTTGACCAGTATGACAGTGGGTATTAAGTATTAATATTGCATTTAGTGTTGTATTAAATATAATTTGGGGAACACTCTAGAAACCCTGGAGTAATGAAAACAACAGACTGAGCACTAGTGGCAGAATTCCTGTTGATTTCTGAAGGCACTGAGGTGAAAGCTCAGTATTTTCATTGTAGATTGATCAGGAAATATTTAATCAAAGCTTTATAATTCGACGCCTACTTAAAAACACGAAAACAACCTGTTTATCTGACCAACATGTCCCTACTGGGATTAAAATAATTACCGTGTATGCTGTCGTTTCAGTAGCACAAACATCGCAGGTTGACTGCTGACAGTTTGGCTATCAGCTGATAGCTGCCATTAAAGTATCGAAGTTTGATACCCAGCACCAGTAATATTTGTGAGAAAAGTAAAATTATCAGCTACCTGGCATAGAAGGAATATGTGCACTATATGATAATGACAATAATAATGTGAGGATATAAATATGTTTGCATGTGGTAGGGGCTACTATGTACGCTGGAGAGCTGTGGACCACTGTGTGATGAGGTTTCTACACATTACTGGAAACTGTCCCAAGAGACAGGTGAGTTAACAAACAGAGTGTCTGAACTCTAAAGAGCCATGAGTGTCATGATCTCATTTTCATCTGTTGCTCTCCCACTATCTTTCCCCTTTGTGATAGATTTTATCTCTGGGTGCAGGGTTCGACTCTTTGTATTTTCGACTGCATGCAGATGGGGCACTTGACAGGGCTGTTGTGTTTGAGGTGGAATTCCCAGACGTTGCCCGGCGCAAGGCTGCCCTGATCACTTCTAATATGACACTGAAGGGGATGTTAGACTCCCATTTGCCTTCTCACGCAGGTTTGTCATTTCATTCACACACAAGACATGGGTCCATGAGATCCAGCAAAAAAGGCATTTGTCACTGAAGTTATGTTAGATTTCATACATACCAAGTTGCCCCCGATGGTTAGAGCCATCGGTTGAGTTGGCGCCGCAGATGGCTTCCTCGGTTCTGTACCAGAAACAAATTCCTTGTGTGTAACATACTTGGCCAAATAAAGGTGATTATCCTTATCCTTACATGTCTTCAGGACCTGTACATGTGTACAGCAGTCAGTACTGTCTGTTGGGGCTGGATGTTAGAGAGGAGTCCCAGCTGGAAAAGACTCTGGGGGCAGCTGGGCTGGACTGGGCTGCCCCTACCCTCGTTCTCTCTGAAGTGGTGCTTACCTACATGGAAACACAATGGTGAGCATTTAGTACATTTTAAATTTGAGCTATTCTAACATGTATGAAAGGAACAATAATTACATGATCACAGTGTATAGCAAAATGATGTCTGTGCAGATTCTCAGTCATCCAGGTCAGAGTAAACTGAAAAAACCTTAGAAGAAATCAACTGGACTTACAGCAGGACTGAAACACCACAGAGGGGGATAAATATCTCCGGCTCAACACCAGTCAGAACTGATGAAGCCTCTTGGATGAGAGGTGAAACGTCTTCGATCTAGAAATCTAAGTCCAGTTGATTTTTTTCTAAGGTTATTTTCAGATAGCAAAATGATCAGGATTATGATGCCAGCTATAATTGTGCAGCTCTAACGTGACAGTTTGCTTGAAGGAGGAGTATGCTGCTTGTCTTCCAGGTCAGATGCTGTCATTAGTTGGGTGGCAAAGCTCCTGCCTCAGTCACTCTTTGTTATGTACGAGCAGATTCATCCAGGTGATCCTTTTGGTCGGATCATGCAGGATCATTTCCTGAAACTCAATTCAACTCTGCACGCACTTCAACAATACCCAGACACAGCTGCACAGAGAAGCAGGTTCTTGGACAAGGCCAGTATGGAGACTGTATATACTTATTGTTTGTACAGAGTACTGAACACAGTTTAAGCAAACAAATACAACAGCGGAGGACTTTATTTCTTATTTCCTCAATTAAGAGGGAAATATTTGCTAAAATATGTTTCACTGTGAGGCAGGCTCAAATGTGTTGTGTTTTTGCCATCAGGGCTGGGAGCAGTGTGTATGTCTGGATATGAATGACTTCTACCTGGGCCTGGTCCCTGAGCAGGAGAGATGCACAGTGGAGAGCCTGGAGCCTTTCGATGAATATGAGGTTACTTGTTGAAATGTGGGTGCTGTTGGACCCGCTGCACTGAATTTAATCCACCTTTCTTGTGAAAATCAATCTGCTCGTAGGTGCAGGACAGAATACAGCATATTACTGACTTGATGTTGTATTTCTACTCCCATGACACCAGCTGCTCATTGTTACACATTCTAAAATGGTTTGACAAGATTACCAGCAGCATTGCCTTAAACCTTTTTTAACCCATGCACACTGAAAACAACGTTACAGCACTGTCACCTGCCCTAAATAAGGAAATATCCATACCTGCCTTCTAGAATTTAGGCACAGAATAATAGCTATTGCAAACATAACTTTTGGAGGGTGCACCTGTAAAAACTTATTCTAAATATATATAAACTGCTGTAGAAACATGAATAACACTAGAGCGTTTATAACTATCACAACATAATATGTGCATAAGTGGATCCTTCACAAGTTGTGTTTGTATCTTCTTATTTTGTGTTCCATTTCATATAAAGGCCAGTGGTGCTTTACAGTCAACATGAATCAGAATGATGTTGTATTTGTCCGCCCTCAGGAGTGGCACCAGAAATGCTCCCACTACTTCATCCTCACTGCGTCTCGAGGCTCTTCTATGGCACAGGCCTTACTCACACACCCTCCAGGTAGCTGTTGTTCTTACAGTTTATAATATCTTTGAAACAAATGTCAGCTTTAGAATAATTAGCTTGCACGTCTGCATGTATTTCCTAACTAAGAGGGTAACTTGTGTTATTGCCCAGTACTATCCTTTAGCCCATCTTGGAGCCCCGTGGCCCTGAATGTGAAAACCATGCCAGTGTGTATGGAGGGGCTGGGGATGGCTTCTACCTTGATGAGCCCAGGGCAGGTCCTGCTAACAGGAGGCTCCAGCAGAGGAGGCAGGGGGCCAGTAACCAGGCTCCTCCTGAGGGGCCAGGATGGCTGGAGATCTGTCAGTATGGAGCCACCAGTAGATCTGAGTGAGACACTTCCTGCGTGTATTTTTGTTTTCTGTCAGTAGCCGTTATTGCTCTTATTCAGAGAGAATATGCAAGAGTAAATTTTGGTCCATCTACAAAAAGGTAGTATCAGTGTCTGTAAAAGACTCTCCTAGTTGTAGCATAACAGGACAGTGTGGCTGTTAATGACTAGAGGCTCTGATTAAGGCATGTGTACATAATATGGCACAGCTGGTAATACCATCCAGATGTCGCAGACTTCTCTGTACTTTACTGGACGTTGCCTTAAACTTAGAATAATAGCAAATATAACCTTAGCATAGCACACCCTTAATACTCTATTAAGAACATACATGAACTGCTACTGTCTGTGGCTTCCTCCCAGGTGTGCGACTCTACCACACCGCTACCTCTCTTCCTGGAGGAGGTGTTGTGGTTTATGGAGGTCGCTCCTCTCCACTCAACTCAATCAAAGGCCTTTTCAAAGTGACCTTTGACCCCAGTGCTCCACCTGGTCCTCTGCACTCTGAGGGTGCAGTGAAACTTTGTGCAGAGCAGATCGTCTGTACAGGGGCGCCGCCAGCACCACGATGGAGGCACACTGCTGCCGCAATGAGGTACCAAGGTGAGAGACAACAAGATGTCTTTCTTTCACTCTCCCTTGTTTATTTTCATGCTGACTTCTCATTTTTCTCTCTAGGCAAAGACTTTCTGTTCGTGTTTGGTGGAAAGAATGAATCAGAGGCTGTTCTCGGCGACGGTCACTTCCTGTGTGTCGACCATCACCACTGGACTGAGGTTTGTTTAGCGCTTGTTCATGTGTTGTCCTCCTAAGCTGTTATCATTATCCTGTTTGTCTTCACCTTGAGTCACACTGAGCCTCGCACAATGACGAGTTTGTTCTTTAATGAGCATGTCAGAGCCATTGAAGAGAATTTTGAATTTGAATTAACTTCACCAGTGGTTGAGATGTGTTCTGTGAGCCAGGAGCAAATCTGACTGTCATCATGGGAGAACCTTCACTTGAAATCATAATGCATTCATCTGAATGAATTTAGAGCTAAAATTTTATACAGAAATTAATTGAAATAGAACATTTTACCAAAGATTCTGGTAACAGCCGTCCCTGGCAGATTAGTGGTTAAGGCGCAGCGTTCTCGCCGCTGCGGCCCGGGTTCGAGTCAGAGTTGTATCAGGAAGGGCATTCGGCGTAAAACACGTGCCAAATGTCAATATGTGATTCGCTGTGGCGACCCCTAAAACAGGAAAAGCCAAAACTAAAAATTCTGGTAATATTAGGTTCAACATATTATCATCAACATGGTTTGACAATTTACTGAGAGGTTTTTTTAGTTTTTAAGGCTGATTGGCTAATTTTGACACAGCAAGATGTACACTTCAGTAGTTTGGAAAATTCTCTTATGGTTGTTATTTAGGTTTCCCTTTGTTATGACACCTACTGTAACTGTCATGCCCCCCCCCTTACTTCCTCTCATGTTAGTCATGGGCTGACCTGCTGTACAAAGACATATTAGTGTCAGACCATTCCTCTGTCTGTCACAGTGCTGGTGCAATGACATGTCATTGTCATGTGTTTCAGGTCCGAGTATGCTAATGATGAACTCTCACCAACAGGTGCATTCATCAGGCTGAAGTGAACGAGCAACAAGTTGAGAGTAAAACAGGAAAAGCCAAAACTAAAAATTCTGGTAATATTAGGTTCAACATATTATCATCAACATGGTTTGACAATTTACTGAGAGGTTTTTTTAGTTTTTAAGGCTGATTGGCTAATTTTGACACAGCAAGATGTACACTTCAGTAGTTTGGAAAATTCTCTTATGGTTGTTATTTAGGTTTCCCTTTGTTATGACACCTACTGTAACTGTCATGCCCCCCCCCTTACTTCCTCTCATGTTAGTCATGGGCTGACCTGCTGTACAAAGACATATTAGTGTCAGACCATTCCTCTGTCTGTCACAGTGCTGGTGCAATGACATGTCATTGTCATGTGTTTCAGGTCCGAGTATGCTAATGATGAACTCTCACCAACAGGTGCATTCATCAGGCTGAAGTGAACGAGCAACAGGTTGAGAGTGTGGTGACTCCAACGTGGAACCTCACTGAAAACTAGGCAGAGTGGTTTCAGAGATGAAAATGTTTTGCACCAGGCTCAGTGGGTCTGTGTATTATTTACAGATCCCAGTAGAGGGCGCAGCGCCAGAGCCCCGCCACTCCCACTCAGCATGTTCCTATCAGGGAGGTGCGGTGGTGTTTGGAGGACTGGACAGAAGGGGGGTGCCGCTGGGGGACACAGTCGTGCTCAGGCCAACTGAAAGAGGCTTCTGCTGGGAGAGATTAGAGGTGCAGCCCCCTCCTGTTCCCAGGTCTGTGGTTTGTCAAAGCCAAAAACTTTGCCCTAGCCAGTCGTTTTCATAGAACACTCCAGAACTCAGTTTCAGCATCTACTTAAGAAAACATGTGCTTTGTTTTAGATACTCTCATTCTGCCCATGTTACTGGGGGGAAGCTGGTTGTAGTGGGTGGAGTGTGGCTGCATTCAGATGGTGTGCCGGGTGTTGTCGTGGTCAGCCTCACCACATGCTGCAGCGTGGAGTTCAGCCTGGACACGGTTAGTTAACATTTACACACCGTGCTTACTGTACTGATGCATCCACCTCGGGTCACAGAAACCTGGGTTAGTCTAAATCACTGCATTGTGCATCTACAGACCTCGGTGCCCTGGCCTCTGATGCTCCACTCCTTCTGCTCTGAGCTCACAGATTCTGCAGAGCCAGAGTTGCTGCTGATGGGTGGGGGAGGAAACTGTTTCTCCTTCGGGACTCACTTCAACCCCCGGCCTCTCACTGTGGACCTCCGACCTGCACTGGCATGAAGTGGTTCTTTGACCCTGTTCAGCTGAGGAGGTTATGTGGTCTGAGCTCCAGCCTTCACATGTGTCAGAATGAAACAGATGAACTGAATTATGAATTATGTGGGAGAGTTGTCAGAGTAGCCTGTTGTTATTACTGAGTGTAAGTGTGGATGTATGCAAGGACACACATTCACATGACATTGAACAACTCCACAGAAGTCAGACTGCTCACTGGACAGCTGTTTATTTGTGAGATCTCAGTTCAGACAGAATAGCCAAATGATGATGCCTGGCATAGATCATCTGAAGCCTTTTATCGGGTGGAGGGTAAATCATTCAGTGAAGCGCCTGAAGGACTGGACCGCAGCACCAACAGCACCCCAGTCACCAGGCTTGCGGTATTCTCCCTTCTCCAGGAAGTACTGGCGTCCATGGTAGTTGGGGTGCTCGTAGAAAACCCACCAGCCGTCAACCACCTTACAGGAGTTGACCTCCCTCCAGCGGAACTTCTCCAGCAGCGAGGCGCAGTCCTCTGTGGCCTCGACGGCTTGGCCTCCGAAGTCTGCCTTCTCATAGAGCTGCATCTTGTACTGGGTCCCACTGGTCTGGAAGGGGTGGTGAAGGTGGAGTTAGTGCGGGGGGTTAGGAATGTGGGGTGAGAGACAAGGGGAAGGAGGAGATGTAGGGAGACGAGTGTAGTATTGTAAAAGAAACCCTTAACCTGCATTTATATGCGGCGTGTAAACATTTAATGGTTTCTAACACCTTTTAATATGTTAATGTAGGAATATGCAACATAATGTATAATAAAAACATAATGGACAGTATAGTAAAGTTACATTATAGTGTAATTATTATACAGTAGTGGAAAGTAACTGAGTATATTCACTTAAGTACTGTACATAGGTGCAGTTTTGAGGTATTTCTAAAGTATTTTCATGTTCTCTACTTGGACTTCACTACATTTCAGACAAGTCTTGGACTTTTAACTGCACCACATGTATTTAATAACTTTAGTTCCTTTTCAGAATCAGATGAACCAATTAAAATACAGTATAATCATCAGACATTATTGAGCCCTGGTGGGACATTCACCAGCTACCCATTATGTAAAGTACTTCAAATTATATGAGGTAGTTAACGTTAGCGCCACCTTTACCAGCTGCAACATTAAAGTGATGAACACAGTGATGCATCAGTCATCATGTGCTCTTTGGTATAATGCGTACTTCTATTTTAAGTACTTTGAAACTGATACTTTTGTACTTTTGCATAAGTAATATTTTGAATGCAGGATGCCTACTTGGAGTATATTACACTGTGGTATTGCTGCTTTTACTTGTGTAAAGAATCGACTGCATGACAGACTGATATACAACAGTGTCCCAGTTTTAGAGAGCAATGTGACCTCCTCCACTTCTGATATAAACCATTTACTAAATGTCTGTATAGTGCTAAGAAATGCTAAATGGTAGTTTGGAGCACTGCATCTAGAAGGCTCATATTAATATGAGCGTCATGGTGACGTAGATTTTGCACAGACTGTATTTTTCAGTGTATCTCAGAGACTCTTCTACTACTAACCAGTCCAACACACCCTCACTGTTTGCACTCTGTTTCGTGCCTTTATAATCAGTTGTACACATATTGATTATTACACTAAAGTGCTGTCTGTGGGCCGGTTGGATCACAGGCTGACTCCGGTACTGGTCTCCACTGACAGAGCCCTGCGGTCAGCACAGTAACTCAGCAGCTTTTCTCACTTCGTCTAACGTGACTGTGTGAGTTCTTAACGCAGTGTCAAACTCCTCACAGCTGGAAACAGCAGTAGTTAATTGTGAGATCTGCACACATTGCTCAGCACATTCAGAGAGAGGGCAGACTGCAGGTCACAGCCGATGGCTGACTTACAAAGTGAATCATCTTGCAGGAGCTGAGGCGGTCATTGAGGCCCATCCAGCACTGGTACTCTGGGTATTCACCCCTGGTCAGAACATACTGGTAGCCCGTGTAGTTGGGCCTCTCATACACCACCCAGGCCCCACTCTTCACCTGGACAGAGTTACAGCGGCTCAGGTAGGCGTGGAAATCCGAGCAGTCACTGTCACTCTCATAGCAGCGGCCCTGGAAGTTCTTGTCCTCGTAGAAGACGATCTGGGGGACAGGGTTAGATTCTCTAATAAGTGGTTCAGCTTAGAAAAGCCAGATGGATGCTAGTTTTTTGACGCTGGCTCCAGCAGAGTAAAAGCCATCAGCAGCTTCATACTGCAGAAAACTGCCCGGCCCAGCCAGCACCACGTTCGGAACCTTACCACTCCTGGAAAGTAGTGCTCGACTGATAAGGGGTTTTCAATCTGTAAAGAGGGGAAGGGCGATTTTTTTTTTTTTTTTTGCATCACATACAATACAACAATTTACTACTAACAAAGAAAACAAATTTGCTTGTGTTTAAATGAACATTTAACACTAATTAATTATGATTAATCGTCCTTGTGAGTGCTCAGTTTCCTAAAAATGCCAAATATAGGTCCGATTAATCTGCCAATTGATTAATTGATCTACACCCCAGTAATCAGTGCAGAGAGGGTCTCTCTCTCACACACACACACACACACACACACACAACCTTATCCTACATGACCCTTTTCCACTGCCAGCCCCTTTGTCTGCACTCACCCTGCCCATACTGGATATGATGTGGGACAGCCTTGGTGATGTGCCGGTGGATCCCCTGAGGTCTCAATGTTGCATTGGCCTCTCACGATCCCTTTTATATCCCCGCTCTCCCACATTTATAAACCGCACCAGTGGAGGCAAAAGGGGGACAATCGCTTTGTCATGAAAGTGAGATCCAAAAATTGAGTCAGTGATTCTAGTGCTATTCAGTTTTTCCAGAAAAGCGAGGGAGGATTACGGCATAATGGACGGGCACGGTGACCCCCCCCAACCAACCACATGCCCCTACCTGGCAAGGACCACCAACTCGTGACTTCTCTCTGACCAGTGATGCAGACAGAGCAGTGTTCAAATCCTTTACTTATGTTAAAGTACACATTCTAAAAGTACTTTATTACAAGTAAAAGCAAAAATACCAGACACTTGATGGGTACAGCTTTTCAACTGGGGGAATATATTGTTTGTTGTTAATAAACCAAGTGTGATTTGAGGAGATCACACTGGGCTGTAGGAAACTATAACAGGAAGTTTTCATCATTTTTTGCTACTTTATAAACTACAGCAATTTGTTGAGAAAGTAATCAGTTATGGCTCCATTTTAAGTTAAGTGGTTGTGGCATTTTGTTCCTCAGTGCTATGTCTATGTGCATGTGTTTTCTTAAACTGCAGTGTTTTGAGCTCTCAGAGCCACCATACCATCCATCAGCTCTGCCATAAATTTAACCTTTTCAGAGTAACATTTAGTTTTTGTTGCTATTGTCAGAGATGCATGCAGCCAGTGTTAATTATTGCTGTACTTAACTAAATTATATTTCCATTTTATGGCTGAACTGTTGTATTAGATTGCATGGGATAGTCACCTTTATTGTACCTTTAAGTATGTTACACACAAGGAATTTGTTTCCAGTACAGAACCGAGGCAGCCGTCTGTACCACCATCTCAACCGATGGCTCCAACCATCGGGGGCGGTTCAGTGTCTTGCCCCAGGACACTTAGACACATGGACTGGAGGCACCGAGATTCAAACCTTCAACCTTCTGGTTGGGAAACGACTGCTCTACCCACCGCACCACTGTTGCCTACTCATGTACCTAATAAATTAGTCACTGTGTATTTTGTAAGTAACAGCAAAGCATGGCAAACACAGTCAAGTTACAGTAAGTGGCATAAAACAGGAATGCTACATCTTAGAAGTGTGTACTTGTCCACTTGTATTTCCCCACTGTTAGTGCTGCATAACCACAGATGCAACAAACTGTACTCTTTGTAAGTGTAACGGATTCATGCATTTCAGTTTTACTCACATGAACATCACTATACAAACTCTGGAAGCTGCAGCTCCTGCATCCAAACATAGAATTTAAATAATCAGTAGTTTTATTCATAGTTTTAACAATCTCAACTATATTGTGCTTTTCATATATTGCCTGCATATTCATTTGTTCAAATTAAAGTGTAATCATCGTCGTCATCGTGAAAATACAGACAAATCCCAGCACTTCAGATTTTTACGGTAGTTTTCTAATATCTACTTTGTAGTTATGTGGGTAAAAATACATATACATTTAGGATTTCTAACATATGGTGCCAATTCTGCAAACAGACCACACGTTTGTTAAATTTGAACTACACTGCAATGTGTCAGGCTGTTTCAGCTGTAGTGAAGAAAGCGCACGTCTGCACAAATTCACAGAACAATGAAACTGCTGCTGTGTGTTGCACTTGTGGCCAACGCCACAGTCACAGATGTCAAAACAAATATCTCCTTTGACAGCTGTGATTTATCAATAACTGAGGTGTAGCAACAACGTTCAGCTCAGGGACAGCAGTGTCGCTGCAGGTGTTGTTAACTTACACTCAGATGGTGACGTCACATCCCAAAAATAAACTGTTAAAGTTCCTTACTTTTCCCCATAGCGGAAAATACTTGATTGCTATTTTTAATATTCTAATACTATGACCTGAGTAGCAACTGTACATGGCAACTTCCTTTAATTTAAATTTTTTTTTTTGTAAGAAAATAGCATAGAGTTTACATATGTGAGCACAGTTTGGGAAGAGGTGGAGGTAACCACTCCAGAATGTGTGGAAGAGGAAGAGGACTTACTGAGCCACAGCAGAACCCACCAGTGATGAGTGCATCATGTACCTCTGGTGGTCACTGAATGTGACTCCACAACACCTGTGACTGTGCTGAGTTCGCACCAGAACAGTGTCAAGCTGTGGCTCTTCATATATTGCATTTGACAATTACTACATTAACAAGCTATTAGTCCTTCAAGAGAATGTGTAACCGACAGCCACAGACGATCATGGAGGTCACCCTGCCCCCCCACAGCTGTGCCTGGTTTTTAACCAAATTTAGATTTATGATTCCAAAAGTAATCCCACTTCTTTTCTAAAGCCTATGGTTATTTCACAGATGCTACACCCATGTTTTTTTTAAAGCCCACACCTCCGCTCAAAAGGGTGGTGCGATGTTGTTTTACAACATGCCTCCACTCCCTGTTTGGCCTTGACACCCAGGACTTGGAGTTGTCTTTTAGCTCCACTCAGCAGTGAGTGGGACAAAGCTGTAGGCTGCTGTAAACACCGGATCCAGACTTGTTAGTACGGTGTAAATCACCACTGACACACTGTATAGTAATACCTGGTGTAAACATACTCCTCAATTTAGACTCAGACCAGGGTAAGCCAACAGTTCAACAAGAAATAGGTGACCGCCCCGCTGCCCGTCCAGTCCTCATGTGTTTGCTGTCATTAACTTGGGGAGTGTCCCTTGCAGGCCCATCAGAGTCATTTAAAGAGGCTGTTGTGGGTGGGATGAGGCTGTCGAGTTCCTGCCTGTGCCCCGTTTCCAAAAGCCACTTATGGAACCTGGCTTCCACCAGCTCTTGGAACAGCTTCTTCTGCTCCCTGGAGAACAGACAATGAGAAATCAGTTACAAACAGGACAGAGGCAGAGTCTGAGAGAGATTAGTGCTAAAATACAGTAATACATAAATCAATCAAAGGATTTTATGACAAAGCATCACATGACGTGTTCTCCCAGCACAGTCAGGGTCAGGCAGTGTAGAGCCCCTCAGGTCAGTTTTCTGACCCCAGTGCCTCCCACTGGCCTCCATCATATCTCGCCACTGACTCCCATTCATATTCATTTGTAGAATGACTGCTCCATTATAACTTTCCACTGATTAAAACAGCACAATGGACAATAGACACATGCGCAGGTGGCTGAATGTTTAACAGCTATTAGATCAAATTATTTCGCTTACGGTGCTAAAAATAATGCCAGTGATTTTCTGTTATTCTTGTTTTCCACAAACCCCATCCAGAAACTAAAACCACCAGTGAATGTGGTGTACTCAATGGAACGTGTGAATCCACAGCCTGGCTCAGCTTATCGGTCTGTGCTGTAGACCTCCATTGTTGTCCACAAACTATTAAACACACCCAGTGAGCCACACCGCTGCACTGGGTGACACATTTCTTTCTCAGGAACAATGTGAGGCCCCTCTGTTCCCAACAAGCCGCTCAGAAGGCTAAGACTGACTGTCACTCTGTACGGTGTCTGAAGGAAAAAAGAGTCACTGACCTCTGCTCTGTTCACACTACTCCGCTAGCGTCTTGTGTCATGTGTGGACAACGGTGGAGGTCTGTGGCACAGACCAATAAGCCAAACTAGGTTACGGTGAGTTCAGAGCTTCTGTCTGGATGAAATGTCTCAAAAATAACAAAAGCACACTCACTTGTTGAGCCGGGCCATTGTCACAGTCTTCTGCCACTCCTCTATCCGTTTCTGCTTTTCATCCATCGCTGCCTGATAAGGAGGAGGCAATCCACCGGGCACTTCACACGTGTCCCCCTCCATCTGGAAAGGCACAACCATTGTGTGAAACTCAGCCGGGGGCAGCAGGTGGTAACAGACGGGGTCTGTGCTGGGCGATGTGTTGAGAGAAGGGCTAATGAGGCCCTCGGGCGCCAGAAACAGGGGTCGGTCCCAGGCACTGGGGACAACAGCCAGCCCCACACTGGCCATATGATCCTCCAGAGAGGGGTAGAAAGTGTGGAAAGGCCCTAGGGTAATGTCTGTGTTCCCAGGTAGCAGCAAAGGGTTGGTGGGCGTCAGGGCATGGATGGTACAAGATGAGGAGGCGCCCACAGCAATCCTGCCGGCCACACACACTACCCGCACGTTCTGGCAGCCATGGATGTGGACACTGGTCTCAACAGGACCCAGAACCACTGTGCTGTCACGGCATTTGTCCACACTGACTGATCTGAAGGAGCAACACAAACCATGACAGATGAGCTGTGTCCCAGAAAGTCCACAAAACAAGTGGTGTTACTGGAAGCGAACCTCACCTGAGAGGGGAGAGGAGGTATATGAAGGCCTCTGAGCACCTGTGGATTTTGACATTGGCACCGGTCAGTCTGTCTGAGGTTTTAGCCAGGGTCTGTTTGAAGACTTGGGACATGAGCACCATCTTACTGCCAGGTGGAGCTGTGTGGGTGTTCCTGGCTATTTTGGCTCTCTTCATGGCCCCCTCCACTACAATGCATAAACAGAGACTGTATGCACAGGTTCTGTACATCTCTGACTTTTAGTACTTTCTTCTCAGACACACCCTCACAATTATTGTACAGAGGAAGGAACGGCATTATACAACTCACTCCAGGTGATGGTAGCATACCTTGCTGAGCCCAGGCTAGTTTCTTGCCTGAGTGCAGGCAGGCAGTTATCCCAAAGGGGTTGAGTGTGAGACAGTGCTGGAGACAGGAGAGCAGCTTGTGCAGAGGGAAGGAGTGGCTGAGTGTGGAGTAGCCAGCTTGTGTCTGAAGTGGACCTTTGGTCAGCAGCCTGTGCACAGGCTGCACACCTCTGCCATGGCCAGCTGAGCCCTCCAGGAGCAGCCCCAAGCTCCGCACAGCCTCCAGGGATATCTAGAAAAAGACAGCTACAAAATCAGCTATAAACCATATGCAGTAATGTTTGAATGGTTATTTATTTCTAAAACTCCAAAAGCACAGATGATCTTACTTTGTAACTGTAGTATAAGGCTTGATTCTAGTAGGTTACTTTGCCCTGTTAATCCTGCATCGCTACTGTTTACCTCACAACCACTGCAGTGAAAGATAACTGCCACTGAGAAAGTCCTGTTGTACCCACAACATTACTGGTTAACACAGCTGAGTGAGGAACAGGGAGTGCTTAGTTTGATGCAAGGGACCTCACTGTAAATGCAGACACATTGTCACTTGAGACTGAGACCGCACAGAGATCTAAATCACACTCACGAAAGGATTTATCGTGCAGCCCTAGTATAGAGGATAAGGACAGTACAGCCAGCTGACTGTGGTCTGAACGCCCACTCACACAGGACATGTACAGGCTGTCAACACACCTGGCAGTCTTTCAGAGCCTGTCCAGATTGTGACAGCTGGCCTGGCTCCACCAATAACTGCAGAATCTCAGCAAGGTGGCTTTGTACAAATGACAGGTGCGCTTGATACAAAACATCTGTGCTTCCAACTTGATCATGTGGACACTTTGCACTGGACAACAGGGAGTCAGCAGAATTAAAGAAAACATGCAACAACATTATGAGTCTGTCTTTTGTCTGTTGCAGTAACAAGGACCTTGATCTGAGAGCTGGTCTTGGCCTCTCGGTCTGATGGAGATGGGGAGCGAGTGCGTGGACTGGGCCACTCTTCACCGATCAGAGACGTGCGCAGGGACACACGGTTCAGCTGCTGGATGTAAAGGAAGAGGAGGAACTGCAGCGTGTCCACAGACAACTGTAGCAGAAAGGCAAAGAGAAAACACAGGGTGCATATCAGTGTGCAGCTCCAACTCAGATTTCAGAGCAAGGTTACAACAACACAATGAGCAGCACACCCTCATGACACAATCAAAGAGAGTTAACTGGGACATTGAGATCATATTACATTCTTAGGTAAACTGAGCCATTCACTCACGCAATGTCCAACTAAACTGTTCTCCACCTCGGTCAGTTTTTCACCTTGGTCCTTTGTTGGTCCAGCTCGCTCTTGGAAGTGCACTGGGAAAGACACTCGGCCCTCTCCAGCCTCTCCTCTGGAGTGTGGCCTATCAAAAGGTCAAAGGTCTCAAAGTAGAGCCATGCGAGGTCTTCCGGAAGCTGCAGCTTTCCACAGGCAATGTGCCTCCACATGGGCCAACGCAAAATAGGGAAGCAGCCATTACGTGTTCGCACGTAGTTCGCCATCTTGTGAAGATAGTGCAGGCTGAGCTTGGAGGAGGGAGCCACCTACAATGGCATCAACTCCAGTTATTGTACAACATTTACACCCACTGAAAGACATCATTCCATTAAATGGCTGGTAAAGGTATATTCACCTGCAGGGCACCCAGTAAGAAGGGCTCCATGCGTGGCCATATGCTCACACTGTCTGCCTCCATGTCTAAGGAGAAAGTAAACAAAAAAGATGTGGAAGTGGGACATACAACAGCACAGGTGGAAAGTAACTAAGCACATTAACTCAAGTATAAATTTGTGGTACTGTATTTATCTGAGTATTTCCATGTTCTGCTACTTCATACTTGGACCTCACTATATAGCAGAGACAAATATTGTACTTTTTACCATATGTACTTGATAACTTTCATTCCTTTTCAGAATCAAATGAATAAAACTAAATACAATTGATCATCAGACTTTACTGATCCCCAGTGGGAAATTCATAAGCTACCCAGCACTATGAGACATAAATAAGGTAGTTAGCATTTAGCTTGTTAACATTAGCTTCACCTTTAGTAGCAATAATGCATCAATAGTTATAATCCAATAATATGATATATATTAATGTGAAGAGACTGATATACAACAATGCCCCAGTATAAGAGAGCAATATGACCAAGTAGCGTACTATCTTGTCTGCTCAGTGTCAAACTTCTGAATCACTGTATATTTACGGATTAACTGAGGGAAGAGCATAGGCGCCGACTATACACGCGCAGATGATGGTAAACACCTGTAGCGCTTACCTGACGCTTTTGTTCTCCCATGACAACTGGCAACCAAGATGCTCATCAGCACCTGACTTGACATCATAATATCAAGTTAAGCTAAAACTACTCTAGTGAGAAGGCAAAAAAAAAATATACACCAACTTACATCTTGTTGTAGTGGCATTCAAAAGGCATCTTGTTTTCTGTCAAAGTTAGCTTCACCACGGAAACCTCACCAGCAGCGTTAGCTTAGCTACTGTTAATTAGCTAGTTTTAGCTAGCAAGGCCAAAGGCGACAAAAGTGCGGCGGTTTTGCTCTTACTTTCAGTCGGAGTCCTCGTTCCGACAGGGCGCTGCTCCGCCTCAATGGATGTAGTCAAACATAAGTGAAAGTAAAGGTACTGCTGTTTTTACTGTTTGTTGTGGTTAGATTAGTGGCATTCTTCCTGTTTGGCGCCCTCAATCCTGATCTGACATCTGCTGCGCGCAGCTCTCAGGGGGCGCGCTTCATGCTGCCTTCACGTAATGTCGATAGAATGGGAACAACTACCACAACACCGAAATTGCAATGACTGTTTTCACACTCGGTTGCTCATAATTACGGTTTAAAAAGCTTGAGAGGCCCATTAGTATCAGTAGAGTTCATACATATATATTGAACACTCTGGATTAGCTTTTGTAAAACAAAAAAAGGGTTTTTTTTTTTTTTTTTTTTTTTTTTTTTAAAGAACAGGCGGGGTTTGGACCGAAAGGCGGATTTGCCGACATGCAGGAGGAGGGCTTTCTTTGACAGGCGGAAGAAGGCTTGTGACTGACAGCGGGATCCGACCCTCAAAAGCCGGCTGTTCTTTTGCTACGTCCCTAAGAAACTGGGGTCTGACTTATGGCTAACAAAGGGATGAATCTCCGCAGCGTGTGTTGCCTGCTTCTTTATGTTATCACAGCGGTGCTTGCGGGGTAAGTGGCTGGTGCTCAGACAGCGGTGAAACAATCGCCAGCTGGTACACATGTTCCACTGTGATTGGTCTAGACCCAGGCTACATGTGTGGAGCGGGCTCAGGCAGGCTGACATGCTGAGCTAACTTGCTAATACGTGTTGTTTTATGTGTTTTGCTGTGATATAGCTACGCATTTACATTCAGAAATGTAACCGACATGTTTTGGATGACTACCTATCTTAGTTAGCTAGAAGTTAGCCTTTATACCGGTGCAACTACCGGACAACAGCGGCCTGCCTCAGTGACTCTAGCTAGCGGTGCTCCTTATACTTCCAGACCCTGCCTGAGAATGATCCGATTTTTACGTTTTCATCGCCGACAATGTAATCCAGTGATAGTTGGATGTATGCTCAATAAACAGAGCAAAGAGGAACCGCAATTAGAGAATTCGGCGTAATTAGCTTTCCTAGATGTAAACAAATATAAGCATAAAAACGGGGCTCAAGTTGTGTCCCATGGGGTATAGGTGGCCAAGTAACAGCAGTGCTATCGTGTCCGCCCTAACATCTCCCTCTCTCGCAGGAGAGATTTCTATAAGATCTTGGGGGTGAGCAAGACTGCATCAGTCAAGGACATCAAGAAGGCCTACAGAAAGCTGGCTCTCCAGTTACACCCCGACAGAAACCCGGACGACCCGAAAGCTCAAGACAAGTTTGCAGACTTAGGTGCCGCTTATGAGGTGGGTACATACAACGGCTACTGTGTTTGGTGCCAGTGATATCTGAAAGAAGGCACTTATATTGACTTAACATATGGTTGTATTCACATTGCTGTCAGGAAACTATTGTAGATTTTGTATGGAAATGTGTGACAGTGCGGAAGCGCCAGAGGCACAGATACGAGTCTTTTGTACGTTGGCTACTTGGTTGTTGTTGGAAACGGTACGCGCACTGTGATTGGTCGACTAGACCGTGTGGCTGCATCTGATTGGCTCTTACACAGTCCAGCTGACATAGACGTGGTAGTGTCTGCAACCGTGCAGGTGTTTGTGCATCAAGTGTTAACATTGCGCTTAAAAAAGACAAGTAACACTTTACTTTGGATTAATTATTTAACATTTCTAAGCAGTATATAGAAACTGATACCTGTTTATATATGTTATATATTTCTATTTTATTTAACGCACTATAAGCAGATATAAGTGTTTATGAAACAACTAACTCCTGTTGTGGACACCAATGAGTGGAGGCTGGTGTACAAAGAGATAATGAATAATGTAGCACAGGTATAGTCATTTAAATTATGCCTTCATAGAGTTTTTTTTTACGAAAACGTCCATTCTTGCAGCAAGAATATATTAAATAGTGAGCTTTTCTAAACCATAATTGTGGTATGTTCAAAAGTTTGGGCACCCCCTCTTACAGGGTGTTTGCAGGTCTTGAAAAGCCTTAAAAAGCTTCAAAAGTTTGAAATTTCTCATGGCATGTCTGAAGTATTGTAGCATCGGGGTGGAGCAGCACCTGCATCTGCTTACAACTACATTGTGTGTTCTAAACCATTTATTAGAGGTTTATGTTCTGCTAACAAATGTTATAAAGGGAGACTTAAGTGAAATGTTATCAGTGATTGGGATTTGTCATGTGATTTCATATCAAGGGAATGGGCACAATAACACTTTAGCATCTCTACAGTATGATGCAATTCAGTATGCAAATAATACTGGTCTTTGTAAACACTGTCATGCTCTGTTCAAAGAGGTGATGAGGTTGTGTTGTGTGATATTAGTATAAAACTGCATATTATTGAAAGAGTCTTTGTGTTACAGGATCCACACACAATCTGAAATGTGAGCAAAATCCTTGTCAAGTTTGGCCATTGTGTGTTTTTCTGTAGGTGCTCTCAGATGAGGAGAAGAGGAAACAGTACGATGCATACGGAGAAGACGGGCTCAAGGAGGGGCACCACAGCTCACACAACGACATCTTCTCCAGGTTGGGTCCATTCCCTCTGCATAGGATTAAAGCAATTGGATACTTTACTGTGTGCAGCTGCATGTCCGCTGGAAGGTCATCGTAAAGGATCGGTTCTCTGAAACATTTTGTCTCCAGACCTGGATAAACTAAACTAAAACTAGATGAAACCCAGCAGAGATAAAACTACAGATAAATAAATCATTATTTTTGGAGGATTTTTTGGATGAACCAGCTCTTCAGGGGAGTTGGTTATAACATTTAAACTAAATGTTGTGGGATTCAGCTGTTGTGTTCTTCTGAACTATGATGGACTGATGTTACTAATGCTGCTGCTCCTCTCACTCTGTCCTCCATTTGTAGCTTCTTTGGGGACTTTGGGTTCATGTTTGGAGGCAACCGACAGCAACAGGACAGGAACATCCCCCGAGGAAATGACATAGTTCTCGACCTGGAGGTTACGCTTGAAGAGGTGTACTCTGGAAACTTTGTGGAGGTAAATCACTTAGTATGTTTGAAGTCTAAAACAGAGTGAAATTAGTTACAACTGTGTGTTCAAATAAGATTTGACATCAAAGTCATCAAACTGCAAAGCTCATTTACTTCCAGCCATTTTACTTGTTTGGGTTTTTTTATAGCAGTCTTGTTTGTTTTGTGGCACAGGTTGTTCGTAACAAGCCGGTAGCCAAAGAAGCCCCTGGCAAGAGGAAATGTAACTGTAGGCAGGAGATGCGGACGACGCAGCTCGGACCTGGCCGCTTCCAGATGACTCAGGAGATGGTGTGCGATGAGTGTGCCAATGTAAAGTAAGTCGTTGTCTGTGGTAAAACCTTTACTGTCTAAAATAATAGGACAGCCCAGGCTGGTCATGGCAGAATCTGAGCCACTGAAACTAGGACGACTTCTACTTTCGGCTGCTCCCGTCAGGGGTCGCCACAGTGAATCATTAGTTGCCACCCAATTGATGATGTGCATGCTAAACTTGGCATGTCTTACCACGGATGCCCTTCTGGATGGAGTCTAATTTAGAGTCACTGATCAACCTAACCTGCATGTCACTGGACTATGGGAGGAAACTGGAGTACCTGGAGAAAACCCATGCAGGCACAGGGAGAACATGCTAACTCCACACAGAAAAGCAAACCCGGAACCTTCTTGCTGTGAGGCAACAGCTCTAACCACTGCCTCATCATGCTGCCCCCTGAAACTATAACTGAAAAGGCTGAAAATAAATTTGGTCTTCAAATTGAAAATCAGAGTAAGATATGAATGTCAAAAATGTCTTCATTCTTTTCAGTATTACACATCAGTGTTTTTTACATTCAACTCACTTCTATCAGAGATCCAGCACTCTGTTTTAGAAGTTTCAGACTGGCTCTGTCTGGCACCATTGTAACAGGGGAAAGATATGCAACTGGAAAAAATGCTGTGCTGAAAGAGTGGGAGCAGAGATGAGATTTAAAAAAAAAAACACTGCTTGCATACGAAATTGACTTTTCCACACTTACTGTGTCCCTGATGCTACTGTAGCAGGCCCACTTATATTGCCCATTTAGATCAGGGGTGTAACAGCCTACAGGAAAGACGCTGCACATACTTAATATCACAACATGGTTTCTGCTGTTCTTAACCTCAGGCTGGTGAATGAGGAGAGAACCTTGGAGGTAGAAATTGAACAGGGGGTGAGAGATGAGATGGAGTACCCTTTCATTGGAGAAGGTAGGCGGACATACAATAGAGCTTAGTAGAAATCATTGTTGTTAGTTTCTCAGCTCTGACCTGATGTGAACATGTTCTGCATGGCCACAGGGGAGCCTCACATCGACGGCGAGCCTGGGGATCTACGTTTCCGCATCAAAGTGCTGAAGTATGGCTCTCTTTTTACTGTGAAACTTCTGTTGTGTCTCTGGTGTGCAACTAAACACTTTTGTTGTTGAATATTAGATCAGCGACGTACTATAAAATGATCTGGGGACGCTTTTCTCTTTAGACATCCAGTGTTTGAACGCAGAGGAGATGACCTGTACACCAACGTCACTATCTCCCTGGTGGAGGCGCTGGTCGGCTTTGAGATGAGCATTGTACATTTGGACGGACACAAGGTTGTACACATACAGAGCTTTACTAATACGGGGAATTTTTAAGGAACGTTGGTAAAAGACTGTCTTTAAAGTCATTTAAAAAGAGGCATATGTGATTAGAGGATGCAGTTCATGATTTTATGTTATTATCCACAAATCCCATCCAGAGACTAATGGCAACAATGTGTGTGAATCCAGACCCTGGTTTAGCTTATTGCTCTGTGCTGTGGAGCAGCACCGTTGTTGTCCACATACAACTACATGCTTCCTCAGGAAACATGAGGCCTGTCTGTTTTCAACAAACGGCTCTTTGTACAGTGTCTGAAGGAAGAAGAGCCACTGACCTCTGTTCACACAGCTCTGCCACCTTCTCACACCACACAGAACAATGTTTTGGAGCTGTTTTCCTCCCATTCTTTGTGTCACCCAGTGCAGTGGTGTGGCTCACTTGGTGACACGTTTGCTGTTGGCCTCCCTGTGGGATTTGTGAAAAATAAAAACAACTGAAAATCACAGGTGTTTTCCTCTGATAGGTTCATATAGTGAGAGACAAGATCACTAAGCCCGGTGCTCGCATGTGGAAGAAGGGCGAGGGCCTGCCCAACTTCGACAATGTCAACATCCGCGGCTCCCTCATCATCACCTTCGATGTGGAGTTTCCTCAGACGCAGTTCGATGAGCAGCAGAAAGAAGGTAAATCAGAAAAGGCAACTCAAACTAATACATGAAAACTTTGCATCATATGTGATTGTTTTCATATGATGCATTTTCTCCCCACAACATGTTTGACGTTGGTGTTTTGTTGGGTGGAGACGTCCCAAGATGCAGGATGTCTGGGATAAATGTGTGAATCAGTAGCCAGTAAAGTCACAGAAACTGACATTTGAAAACATGATGTGGTGCTGACGGTTCTTGTTTTGTGGTTGCAGGTATTCGGAGTCTTCTGAAGCAGGGCTCTGTACAGAGAGTTTACAATGGACTACAAGGATACTAACACAGCAACACACACAGCCTGGACTGAGTTATCTGCCTCACACACAGACACATTTTCAGTCGACAGGAGCGTGCCAGGGTGTATTTATTATTCCCAGATTGTTCTCAGGCTTGAATCTAGTTTGTTTTTATTCTTTAATGTTCTACACTTTGACAGCAGTGGCAGCGTTGCTCAAGTTTTATTTGAAGGGCATAAATGGACACGATGCCAGATCCTTGTGCCTGTTTTGTCCCTGCATTATGTTGTAATAAGGCCTTTTGTTTATGATTCACCTGTTTCTATCTGAGCGACGTGTTGAGGTCAAACAGACACTGTCTACATCTGGTGAAGGAAGAGCTACAGACAAACTGAGCACCTGAAGAAGAAGAAGAAACTATTTCAACCTTCAGCTGTCGTGGTGTGCACAACCACAAGTTTCTCTATTTGGTTAGTTTTTTTTTTGTTTTATATCAGTTTTATGCTGGTGCAACGGTTTTCACTCTGGTCAGATTCCTGTTCAGTAACACTTTGTAAATATGGAAGAACAAAGCTCATTGGTTTGTGTTGTAGTTTTCCTAATTTATGTTGCCAGGTTGTGACAGAAGAACTGTCAGCACTGCACAACCCCACATCCACTGTGGCAAGAGTTGACCTCTTAAATTAAACAGTGATGGTTTATTATGTTAGAGGAATGGCAGTTCGCTCCTGCTCCAGTGCCACCAGACCCTCTACTTGTCTGGGTTGAACCCCTCCATCTCAAAGAGACTTCACACCATCAGCGCCCCTGCTGGGTGTTGCTGGTTCAGTTTATAATGCTGCCGTAGGATTTCCCTTCTGTTTTTACTGCAGCGCTGCCTCCTGGTCTTCTGAGAGTGTCATGGCCCCAAAATGTGAATTATTTGGCCATTTTTACTGAGTGTTCAAGGGGATCATGTACTTTTGACTGACAAAATAAAAATTTATAAAACTTTTGTTGAGATATCACACCCCAGATGCACCAGTAGATGACAATGGAGTCTAGTTAGTGGTCACTGGTGAGTAACCCTGATCTCTACAGCGATGAAGCTACAGTGAAGGGGAGAGTGGGAGGAATGCTTTTCTTACCCTGATTGAACCCTGTGGTTCTGGTTAGCATGATTAGCATGTAGCTGAGGAGAAAGCTGCCTGAGATGTTACTGGTGCACTGGTTTGTGGGAGCTGAACTGAAATACAGTTATAAAGCTTTACAATTAACTAAAATAAAACACTTAAATGAGGACATTTCACTGAAAAGCATTTTGAAGATATCATACATGGGTTCTAGATTGATCAGAACTAATATTTTCATTTAATTGCTAAAATGATTTATAAAGTTTCAGCAACTGAAACAACTTCTAAAGCTCCATTGTTCGAGTTGGAGCAGATTCATGACTTGCTAATCTCGTGTGTGGTCATGTACCTGTGACTGTTTTTGGAAGTGTAGACATTTTGGCTGGTTTACAACTCTTTAAACTTTGGTTTAAAGGTTGTAAGTTGAACTTGTTTTCATTTATTTATTTATTTTCTTTGTTTGTGCTAGTTCTAGTGACTCACTGGTGAATGCAGTGCAACATGTGGCATCTTAAAAATACTAAGTACTGCACTGATTAGTATGTTACGTGCCTCACCAGTGTAGGTGTACAGAGGTAAATGGTCTTATACTTGTATAGTGCTTTTCTATGCACTGCAGCACACTCAAAGCACTTTCACACTATCTGGCCACTCACATTCATGCACCGGTGTCATCACCAGGAGCAACTGGGGGTTCAGTGTCTTGCTCAAGGACACTTTGACATGTGGACTGGACAAAGCTGGGAATGGAACCGCTAATCCTCCGGTTAGAATATGACCCACTCTACCTCCCCAGGTGACAGTAGGACGACCCCCCTGTGGATTTATCTTTTGTCAGGCATGTCCCTGGCCCTGACACACACACCTTGTGTGTTTGCAGTCAGTCTTCAGGGCTGGGGCAGCTGATGTCCACAGGCACATAATCATGGTGATTAGTTTGTGGTGTAGTGAGTGATGTGCAATCTGCCCACCAGTGTTCCTGTCACAAATTGTGAATTCAATTCAATTCAAATGTTATTTGTATAGAGCAGAGTAAGGTCTAGACCTTACTATTATCACAATCATTATAGAGGAAAAACCCAACAAATCCCCCTTGAGCAGCACTTGGCGACAGCGGGGAGGAAAAACTCCCTTTAATGGAAGAAACCTCCGACAGACCCCAGTATATGACTGAGTTCTTTTTCCTTTCTTCTGTAGCAGCCACGCTGAATGCTGTTGTAGATTCCTCCTTTCTGCAGCAATAAATAACACAAAAGACAGATCTGTCCTAAGCCCCTTTAGTTTGCAGCCAATAAAGGTCGTTCATTCTAGAACATAAAAGATTTTGCCACAACACTAACAAACGTGATGCTAGCCAACCTGTGTCTGCATTTACCATGTTCTGTGTTTTTACAAACGCCAGACACCAAAGTAACGTGTGTCTTTTTCACTCACCTTTTCCTCTTCCATTAATGAAATAGCTTCATGCAAAAACTCACTTAAATCCCATTTTTGGGCAGCACATAGCTCCTCTCCAGCATGACTCGAAGGAACTCTCTCACTCACTGAACTTGGATCCTTACAGGTACCCATACTTCTGAGATTAAAGTCAGAATTCAAAAACGTTTTATGCAGTGGCCCTAATCCTCTGCCATACCGCTGTGTTTAAAATGAGCTATATAAATAAAGCTGCCTTGCCTTATAAAGGAGTCATCCTCCAGTTAGAGTGGAGAGCTCTAATAATCTAGATTTGGTTCTAAAAATCTCTGTGTAATTCTCTCCATGGTTAAGAAGACACCATTCTTTAGCGTGAAGCTACTCATTGACAGTGTTTTTGACAACATTAAATCCTGGCATTGCTTCCACTGTCAACAAAGCCGGTTGGTATTTTGAATCCGAGTTGAATTTGAACAAAACCAGTTTTTCTAGAGGTTCATGGATCATGACTGACAGCTGGTGGTTTGCCTTGACTTCCAATTAAAATAGAGGCTTTATCTTACACACAGGTGACAGAAGAACTCAAAGTGCATGTACTTTGCACTCTGTAGGTACTCGGTGTCAAAGAGCAATATCTTCTAAACGCTGCTGAACTTGGTGTTGAGAACAAGTATCTAGTCCAAATATGTTTTACATGTTTATGTCTCTGTCAAAAATAACACTGTGACCTGTGATCAGCTCCCTCTTTTTCTTCAGCAGTCTAAGAAGAAACATCATGGGTAAGTACGTTCCCTTTCATCACGGCTAAGAGGGTCCGTGTACTTTGCGGCCATTGGATTTTTGTTTTGAATTGAGAAAACCAAAATCGGAAAACGAATGGTTTTTAGTTTTTCCACCACTTGTTTTTTATATACAGTATAATATACCAACGTTTTGATAGTGACGGTTTGTGATGCTGTGGGATGAGAATGCTGAAATGAGAATACATAAATGTTTTCTGAATCCTAAGGTTCCCATTACTGGAAACAGAACTCCAGAAAAGTCTGTGCCATTTCTGAGGATGAATTTGTGGAGTTCCAGAATGGAAGACGAGCTAAAGCAAGGTAATACAACACTGAATAAAAAGAATAAAAATATAACCATAACAGGTTCTCTCCGGGTACTCCGGCTTCCTCCCACTGACCAAAGACATGCAGCTTAGGTTGATTGGTGTTGTCTCATTTGTAAAGGTTTGTACAGTATAAAACTCAGAATTACATTTTTCTGCAGTTATATTAAATGTCATTTCCTGCATCACTTTTTTAAAATGTAATATCTTGCAGGTCTAATGGCAGACCCCATGTGTTCTACATGCTGCGAATCCCTGGTTGGATGCCAAAAATGTGTTGAGGAGTGGCTGTTAAATGCAGATCACTGTCTGAAATGCAGAGCAGAAGGATATAATTCCAAAGTACACCCAGTTAAGGGTCTCTCTGCTGTTCTGTCTTGTTTCAAGGAGATGACCGAAACAGAGTAAGTGATGTGGCATTGTTTCAGTAAGATACTCTGGTTGCCATAGCAATTGTTAGTGTTTATAATACCAAGTGTTACACTGGATGTCAAAGTACACCAAATAAGCAGTTAAAACACTGTTACAATAAATTGAGCTTAAATTGTAGTCCATGTTCAACAGGTTAACTTGAAATTGAGAAAATGACTTATTGCAGGCAGTGTGG